TTTTTTTTTTTTTTAAAGAACCAAGAGGTGGGGGCCAGTGGGGCAACCATGGCAGGGGCTGGGAGAGTGGGCAGGCCCCCCACTCAGTGTGGGGCAGCGGGGGAAGCGAGGATCACCCCCTGCCTGGCAGCAGCTGGTGAGTGGGGGCTTTCTTTTTTTTTAAGAGCTGGGAGAATGGGCCAGGAGAGAGGGCAGGGGATGAGGGCAGGGGATGGGCTCATGACAGAGGCCCCCACACAGCATGAGGCAGTGGGGCACAGCACAGAGCACATCCCTGCCTGGAAGCAGCTGGTGAGTGCCAGGCTTCTTTTTTCCAAGAGCTGGAAGCTGGGGCCGGGCAGGGAAGCCATTGACAGGGCTGGGAGAGCGGGCGGGGGATAGGGCCGATTCAGAGGTGGCCAAATCTCCAAATCAGATTTGGCTGATTTGATTTGGGACAGCGATTTGAATCACCAAATCAAATCACTGTCCCCTGAATCAGCCAAATCTGAAGCGAATATTAGCTGCTTTGCACAGGCCTAGTAATTTACCATATTATTCTGAAGTCAGACCTGGATTCCTGTGTCTGTTCTAACAAATGATTACATATGTTACATTAAACAGTCGCTGGATAAAAGATTTAGTAGCAGTAATTACTTAGACTTAGATGGTTATTGGGGTCCATTCTCTCAGGTAAGGGCTATGGCCATTAGACTAGAGAGTTATATTTACTCTCACACTCTTTGTATCTATCCCAATAGTTCTTTCATTATCCTGTGCAAAGTGGAAAAGCTCCAACAAGAGAGACAAAGTCCTTCCACCCCAAATTAAGGTACAAATTGGTAGTTTTTGCTGGAGCTCAATCTTTTAGGAGTGGTTCTGAGGCTGCCTCCCAGGAAAGACAGACAGGCAAACAGCTAGGACCTTATTATACACTTTACCTGTTGAACATTAGGTTTATTAATAATTGGAGTTAGGTTTTCCTTTTAATGACTTCTTACTCAGTCTTAAGGGTAAGAGGGCAAAGAAGATGCATTAACTGAACAGGGCAGATCCAACAGAGTTTAGGAATAAACTGTGGCTGCCTATACATATGCTCATTCACATTCTAATTAGAACACTCCAACATCGCCTCACCATTAAGCCCTGGTGGGTTTTAAAATGGCTGTGGGGGTGCTTTATCTAAACCTCATCGAATGAGCTTTAGAAAAAGCATCCTGTGGCCATTTTAAAATGTGCAGAGGCTGAATACATATGACGGTGATTGATTTTAATTCAAGTGGCTGTCTAGGAACTGCTTTAATTAAAACACCCCCCCCACCCCAAGCACGTGTATAGGCAGCCTACTGCTTAGCTGCTCATTGCTGTCAATACTGAGGAGGTTCCTGGTGGGCCCTGATACAACCTTTATGTGCTCAGAGAGAGTTTCGTTTGTCAAAACTGAGGCATCTAGGGATTTTAAAAACCCGCGAGATTAGCACAAACTGAAGTTTAAGGATCACTTAGGCACAGAAAGAAAGAAAGAAAGAAAGAAAGAAAGAAAGAAAGAAAGTCAAGTGGGATTAAAACACAAACATCCTTTTGTAGATCTAGCCCAAACTGTGTAGTGCATCCATATCTGATATGCTGACTTTTGTTCTGAATTGTTGCAGTTTTGCTCCATATCCACACTAGGGCTGTTCTAAGCCATTTCAGTTGCAGTGTCTTTTGGGCACCCATTCCACAGTTCTGGGAACAGTTCCCCAAAGCAGTGGCAGAGTGGGAGCAGAGTGGGAGCACAAAATTGTATCAGTGGAAAGTGTTTTTCAACCATTTCACAGTCCAAAGAATTTTCATGTTTCAAACAGTTCAGAAAAACAGTTCAGACTAACCGTGGATTTGATCCTGGATTGAGCAAATTTAAACAAGCAAGTATTTGGCTTGCAAGTAATCCATTTGGAGTACCTGAGAGACTCAATTCAATATATTTTACAACTGTGCTGGGAGTGGAGCCAGGTGAATAACTGATTTCTTTGGTTTACAAGTAATTACGAAAAGACAACCATTCCAGGTAAACCCAAGTGAAATGTTCTATGCTTTCGGTCAACCAAAAAAATTGGAAAAAAGATGTTTTCTAGTTTTTTAAAGCTCACTTTTCATTAACTAAAATAAGAGTACTTTTCAAAATGAAATGTTGTTTTGAATTGAACAATTTAAAATTTAAGTTTAAAAAAATGTCAACCCAGCCCAGAGATACCCAGCTCAGATCTGAACAAGCAACTTCAGGTATCACAACCAGCACAACTGCACTGGTATGATGTGCAGTCTGGATTTTTCTGGCATGGCTAATTAGCCTGGATGGAACCCCATGCTGATACAGCTGTATTTCAGCTGTACTGAACTAGCTTGGGTATCCGTACTCAGTACTACAGTGTTCCATGTAAGCAACCCATCAGTGTCCAAAGTCTCACTGGGTGCCAATTTATACCCCTAGTCACTATATACACACACGTCTCAGCACAGTACTCTGTACTCTGTACTCAGTACTCTGTTGTAAGATGATAGTTCCTGATAGTACTATCCTACAGCAAAGTTAATAAGTTTACTGCACCCTAAAACCAGTTCACATGTAGACTGTGATGCTATACTGTGGAATGAATTAATCTACTCTGCAGTAAAGCGCACATGTAGATGTACCCAATGATATTTGAATGAGCCATGATGTTGTAATAGGCAGCACTCACGTTGACTTCAACATGGATTTGGCCTCAATAAAGGCCTATCCACATGCTGAACGTATTGTGCTCAGTAGCAGTGCCTTCAAGCACTTCAGCACAGGCTGTTTCCTGTGCTGGTAGCAGGGTTACTACATGTAGGGCATTTATACACATGCTGGGTGTGCAGGGGGGGAGGGAGAGGCACTTTAATTAAGGCGCCCAGAGCATCTTGTTTATCAGTGTCCTTGCACTGAAAAATGGCAGTTGCATTGAAAAATGGCAGTTAGAGCACCCCAGCTGTGGTTTTTCAGTGTGCAGTCACTAATACCTGAGACGCTGGTGTCGGCTGGAGCGCAGTAATTACCATACTTCAGCATACTCGATTAATCACGGTAATTGCATGTGTATAGGTGGCCTTATTTTTTTAAGCAGGTTCACTGCTCAGTGATATTGCCCATTAGCCTGTCTCCAAGATTCTTAGCCCACATGTACTGTACAGAAGTAGCAGCACCACTTCTGGTTTAAGGGGTAGGCTTCACTTAGCAGCAAAATATCCTTGAGAGTAGTGATATCAGGCACAGAAGGAAATGCATTCATGTCTAATACCTTCAAATACAAACTAGATATAGATATGTAGTTTTTATGATCTGTAGTTTTAGATCATACCACTTCAAATGAAGTGGCTAACATGGATCATAGTGATAACTGGAACACATGCCAACATTTCCTTAGGAACCGGTTTTTCTGTTCTGATAATCAATTCCCACTAATTTCTGTAATATGTGATAATCTGGTATTATATATGCTTAGATGATAAGTCTGCATTATATATTTACATGATTCACTAGTTAATTACAGACTGTCATGAGTTCTATGAGCAGAAAAGATAATAAATGAGTCATCTCCTAGTTTTTTATGTGTGTATTATAAAAAAATGACTAAGTAATTTTAATTTAAAATTTATGCACATAAACTACCTCTCTCAGGTGTGTTGACAAATGAATATTCTGAATGAAATCTTTATTGTATCAAACAACCTGGATATATGTTTTTTTTAAGAGGCTGATATAAACCAAATCCTGTAGTCTTTATTTATACAAAAGTCTCACTTCAGTGACATTTTCGGGTAAGTACTAAATGCAGATGTGGGCTGTATAATAACTACCATTTTTTTATCATATCACTTCAGCATACTTGACTGAAGGCAAGTAGCTCTCTATCTTTCATACACTGAAACCAACTAGGTGTAGGATTGACTTTTTTCAGGTTCACTCTTTGATATGTGTTTCATTATTAGTTTAGAGCTAAGACTACTTAACTCTGTAGTTTCTGATCAGCAAACAAAAACCAAACCGTTGAGAAAAATCTCTCTGGAGATCTATTCCCAAGTAAATTAAGGCAAAGGGGTCTTACAGCAAAAAATAAACATACAGCACAGCTTAACAGATGTGTAATAAGGTATTAATTAGGGAAAAGAGAAAAAAGAGAGCAGATTTCAAATTCCGTTTTGAAATGATAGCACATGTGTGCCCAAGCTACTGATTTTCTTATTAGATTGGAAAACACCCACCCAGCTTCCAAGAGAAGCATTCATAGGAGCAGCATTCTAACAGTTAGATACCCCACTCACCAAGCAACACAACTAGACTACCTTACCTCACCTCACAATACCTATACATGTATCAGTGACTATCCAGACAGACACCTTTACACATTTGTTGTAATACTTATTTTTATGGCACACTTAGTTATACAAAAAAATCCAAAGAAATGCTTACCCGGAGGGAGGAAGGCTGTATGCTGCTGTAACTGCATGTTGGCAAGAGCTTGTTGGTACTGGAAAATACCAGTATTAAAGACTGCGGTGGCACCATTGGTTTTTTCAAGCGCAGGCCTCTTTGGTAATGGGGGAAGTACAGCTTGAGGAATTCCCTGAACAGCAGATAAGTATAAAACAAAGTCCAGGGGAAGGAAAGAAGGGGGGAGGAAGGGGAAGAAGGAGACAGGGAGGAAGGGGTAAAAAAGGAAAAAGAAAAATCAGTAGAAGGCCAAAAAAACAAATCAGGCAGCACCATGTTTATCCATGAGCAAGCAAGCAGCAAAGCAGACTTAACTACCAAATAAAAAGGCAAGGTAAAAGCTTTAAAAGGAAGCACTATTTTAGCCTAACAATACAGTAGTTCAGGTAAACTTGTTGGAGCTCTATATTATAATAATTTGCCAAAGTATTTCTTTTTAAAAAGCTTCATGTTTTCAGTAAGAAGCAAGAATATTGGAAAAAAAAAAAGCTGCACTGCTAGCTCCATGAGGATTGACAAATAAAAGCAATGTTAATAATCTTACAGAGTGAATGAAACAGGTAAGATAATATTAAAAATTATACCCACATTTCCCAAAGTCTAACTAGACATGCAAAAATGTACCACAGCATGCTGGTACTTTAACATTGCATTACAAATGTTAAATCTACATAAGGATATCACTAAGCCATGCCAACCAAACAGATCCATAAATATACAGTAATAAATACAATTTTAATGTCCTCAGTACTTCATTTAGAACATTCTACAAGCTGGTTAAACTGAATGTGGGCTGCTGCACTTTTAACAACTTGCATTTGGCACATACATTTATATGTATATGACAGTCTTTCCTTCTCATTGTACCAGAAAACCACACTCAGTTTTCCATTGTATTTAAATACTTTAAAACTGAAAAAGGAATATTTACTTATACAAATTAATAAAAACTTGTATCTACAATAAAGCTACATGCCAAGCTAAAAGGTGAAAGGTCATAGTACCAGGTCAAAGGTTGCCTCGAGGGGTCGCTTCAGTGATTTGACAGCCGACTGAGTCTTAATTAGCAGGCAGCGAGCACATGATGGCAATGGGCCAGTGGGGTTCAAGCGCATTAACATAAACAGCAAGCAGAGGTGCATCATGGGGGCAGCAGTGCATTTTTGGGTAGGTGAGAAAAAACAAATAAAAAACAAATCATCGGAATGCCATATACAACGAATAACAAGACTAAGCATGCACAATAAAGGCACTACTGAGTTGTTATTGTGAGGATACAACCTCTATGTAGTTAATTACAAACAAGATACTCTAACAGAAAGAAGAGTGAAAGGAGAGAGAAGGAGAGTCTGCCTTCTGTATTTTTGCTCAAGTATCCATAAACACAGAAAAAGGCCTCTCTCATGTTTATTAAACTCTACTATGGATATCACAAAACAATGTTTTACATGAAGTAGTATTTTAATGGTCAAATCATGTAGTTATGTAAATATAGGACATTAACAGCTAAGCAAGTTACAAAACTGGACCTGTTAAAATCAGCTATTGGATCACATTAAAAATTTACCTTAAGACTACATCTGAGCAAATAGCCTGCATTTGTGTTTGTGTCTAATATCTTCAAATGTACTGCAGTTCCTACTCCATGTAATTGTCATGTTCAAGCATTCCCAGTTGTGCAATTATTCATTATACCATAATAAGAAGTAAGATGAATGAAACAGTAAATGATTAAAACCCTTAAGTAGTGTTACAGTCTGTTTGCTTGAAAACCTGCTCCTAAGTAGTTCCAGACCTTACTATTAAGGAATTTTGAAGCATATTGCCCATGGTGCAAAATACTACACAAATATTAAAAAAGAGGACCAAATTAAGTTTCATGTAAAACCAGAAATACTATTAACGATAATATAGGTAGATAAATTTTAAAAAAGGTAACATATACACACATGTTTATATCTATCTAGATAGATATAAATATACATGTACAAACAGAAACAGATTTAGACTATATATATGTACACACATACGTACACATATATGTGTATATATCCATACTGTATACATCAGCAGCCAAAATTAGTAAAATATTTCAATAGCCTGAAACTACTTAAGAGCAGATCTGGTATCACATGCTGTGAAAGCTCATTATAGCGACTGGGATACCTGAACAAACATATCTTCAGCAAGAATAGTTAATAAAAAAATAATCACTTTCAGTCCTCAACATGTTAAATTTTAAAGTAGGGTTTCTGGACTCACCATGGCAGCTGCAGTCGCTGCTGCTTGGGCAGCTGCAGCTTGGTTGACCTGGTACTGGGCAGCCTTGATCTTGGCTTGCAGATGTGCAGGAGGGTGAAAGTATTTGCACTTTTCCCGTGAGCATCTCCCTTTGATATAATCCATACAGACAGTAACTGTGTTGTCATTGGTATCGATCATTGCACTGTCGGCAGGATGAGCAAACCGGCAATCATTTTCTCCTCTGTTACAATTGCCACGTTGATACTCTCGACATACCTGCAATGTCATTTTTTTTTAAATGTTAATTTGGTTTGGTAGCACTTACACTGTTGGTTTGGGACAGGCAATCGTAAGACACTGTTAGCATTATCAGGTAAACATTTCAGAAAAATTGGGCCTGATCCTTAAAGACTCTAAGGCCCATTTATAGTGCCAGAGAAGGACTACAAAAAGAAGCCTTAAAGTTTGGCAGTTTCTACTCACTTTAAGGGTCCCTGTACACTATCAAAGAGAGCATCTACAGATAAATTAATGTGCTTTTACTAATGCACGCTAAATTTAGTACCTCCAGCATGAGGTACCAAATAAATGCACATTAGGCTGCACTAATGTGTGGTAGCGCAAGCACACACTTTTTAGATGACACTAAATGAGGAAAAGCCTATTCTACTGCACACTGGCATATTAGCAGTTTTTTATGTGCCACTTTAATGCTCAGTAGACTAGGCTACTGCGCAGTAAAGCATACATGTAGACAAGCCCAGTGTGATGTACAAGAGTATTAGTGTAAGGGTGAATCAGGATCACAGAGTCTAAATCCACTGGTTTCAGCAACTGACTATAAATTGTAACAATTCATAAGTGTATAATTGTTTTGAAGAAGTAGTTAAAACTAAGCAGAGGTTAAAAATGATTGTCCTGTCTTTCATTAAAAAACACATTTCTAATGAGAGCTTAATAAACCAATGAAGTCTGTAACAAGATGACTACCCTAATTCCCTGACATCAGTTCTACAAGCTACATTTTAAACTTCAAAGCAACTACATGCTTATTACCTTTATCGTTTAATGCATCTATGTAGAGGTACCTCAGCCACAAGCATCAGTAAGAGCCCTTTACAAGACACTCAGCTGTTCCCTCTTTCTACCACAAGAGGGCAATCCTAAACATGCAATTAAAGAGCCTGTTTTTTCTAAACCTCTGTCATGGTAGATCATTTGTACAGATTTTTCTCAACTAACCCCTTTTTATCTTTCTCTAAGATTATGAGTAGGTAGAGTATTTTGAAGGGAAAAATACATCCAAACTATATTGAAGATATATGTATACTTGTGTTGCACAACTGAAACACACTATTTAAGAAATATTTAAAGAATCCAGATATTCTTTTTGGTCCAAAGGAACTACCCAATTCACTAGCTGCTGCAAATATGAAGAATTCCATGGACTTTCAGAACCTAAAAAAATTCCCACTGAATTTAGAGACCCCAATAAGTACAGAGACTTCTCTAGGCAGGTAATTCCTCATATTTAAATGTAACAAGATGTTGGGCTTTTTTCAACCTGTAGTTTTAACTGCAGTTCATTGCAAATCATGACCAAAATCAATCAAAGCAATAAGTTTTACATACTACTTCCAAAAGACTTTAGAAAAAAAAAAGCAAGTAAATTCACACAACCCCATTTCCCCCTAAGAAATAGATGGTATTTCCTTTTAAATGTAAATGCATTTGGAACATTAATATTTCCACAAGAAGCATCAAGAAGCAAGGCCCTGTTCCCTACAACTTACACTCACACTGTAGAAGTGGAGAGAACTAAAGGGAAATGCACTTTATATTTCTTCAGCTCAGCTCCCCATGAAACAGAAAGCTTCAGAAGGAAGCATATAATTTGGATGGAACGTTTATGAAAGAGAATGGATGGAAATTCAGTGTGTTTGAAAGCCAAAAGAGAACTGTCCAAATAACACTAGTGACTGAAAGTGAGATGTAACAACTGTAATGCTGCTAGTCATTTTAACCATTTTGAATACAACAGGTTTTAACCAAAGTCAGAAGAATTTTTCATACTTTCCTGTATATCTAAAACTACTGTTTTACAATATGTTAATTTTTGCCAAGGGGCATGCGATAATTTGACATATACTTGATATGCAGCTTGATGAGAACGTGTCAGGAAGTATGATACATGGTCTGCTACTCTTACAGATCTGCAAACCTAAATGTTTCTTGTCTTTTCTGATTTCCTCACAAGTTAGCAGAAAAGTGAGTGGATACTTTACCCTGTAACTAATATCATCCTTTGCAAAGCCAGAAAATTAAGGGATATAGGCTAAAGTTAGATGTTCTATTTGAAGGAGCATTTCAGCACTTTTAAAAGCAGCATTCTATTTCATCTACAAAATTTGAGGTTGCATGCCAGCATCACTCCAGGATTGTCATCTATTCATCATTTAGGCTATTTTAATAATGCTTTGAGACTGATGTATTAAACTCATTATAGACTCTGGGTCTGGTTTACTTTTCAGGTTGTACCATCAGAAGTTGGGTTGCAAGCCTCTGGTATGCTATGCCAAAAACAGGTAGCTAGAGTTGTCTAAAAATGGGTGATACTGTTTGGCAAGGTAAATACGAACTTAAATCACTACTGAACTAGGGAAATTTATGCCGTTTGTTGGCTTCTTTGCATTTAATCCTGACTTTACCAACTGACAGTACATTTTGCATATACATAAAACAATACTTTTTTCGCTGGTGCAACTTTAATAGATCTCCCAGTTACTCATGAGAACCTAAAATGATTTCTGGGTTACATATTTCTGGCAAAAATCACTGTATCTACAAGGAAACTGTCTCTTTATCAGATAAGAAAAGTGAGCTCAAGTATGAAGTATACAGAATTCAGCTGATCAATCACATTTGGATCAGACAGAAAATGGCACAAACTGAACTGTGTTTTTTAAATTATTTTGAAAGTCAAATTCTTTCTTCAATCCTTTCCTTACTATGCTCTTTTCTCCTTCCTGACTTCTGTTAGCAGCAGGAACCGTAAAACAAAATCACAATTTAGCTAAATTGGTACTATTAAATATCAGATATCTCTTGGAAATGTCTCATCTCATGAACTCTCCATCCTGATATCCAGATTCTACAGTCTGGTTAAATCTTGCTACACAACCAAATATCTACATACTTATCTTAACCAAACGCAACATCCAAAACCAAAAAAACTGTTTCAATTCCAAGTAAGAACTATCGATTTTATTATGAGGCCATTAACATTGATTCAATAACTCCTATTGATTTTGCCTGTCGTACTCACATTCTATATCTACTCTTCTTAAGGTTCCTTTTAATTTACTTTTATAAATGTAGTGAAAACAATAAAAGCTTCTAGTTCTAGAACAACCCTCATTTAAGCATCTTCAGGAACATGTTAAAGCAATTTAATAGTGGAGCATTTCATTTTTTAATATACATTTTTAAAATTCTAAACAAAACAAGGCATTTTCAAATTCAGCTACTGATAGCCTCACAATTTGCTTAACTAGACAATGAACTCTGGAGTTAGAGAGAGAAGCCATATTCAGCTCCATTTCCACATCACTGCAAACATTTAAGTGATAGTAAAGATAAAGTCCATTTATAGGTGGTATGTTTTAAAGCAAGGTATATTTTCTAGCCAATGCACTTCTAAACAGAAAATATATTAATATCCCAAATCTCGATATTCTAAAATTAAAAACAAAAAAAAGGTTTAAAACACCATTTCCAAGTCCTTAATTGCTATATGTGAATTCATTCACTATGGGAAAAATGAATCAGTTTTCTGAAAAATAGTTGCTCTTATTGTAAAAGAGAGAACAAAAGTTCAGTATACAATTGTAGAGAGATGCAATGAGTGAACTTGGATATCCTGTCAAGCACCACTGCAACAAAACAAAACTATTCAGTGTGCAAACCTCCGGGCAAAGCAAGAAAGAAAAAAAATAAAGACATAAAGAAAAAACACTGGCCTAAAATATCCCAACAAATCCTTTTGAAATTAGGTTAACTAGGGAACAGACAGTTTGCAAACTAGCAGCAAGGGAAATTTACTAGTGAGGCATTTTCCATTTAACACAAAGCATAACTACAGTTCCGTTTGTATAGAAGGTTCCCTGCATCCAACAAAACAAATTGTGGCACATCAAAATTGCCTCATTAGTCTAGAAAAATAGATAATAATAATAAAAACCCTCTCCAGTCATTTCTCCTCCACTGTCTTGTCATTCCGATCAATATACTGGCTCGGTTCACAGTCATTTCCCTCCCCTGATCCAATCCTTACAGCAAACAGACAGAACAAAGACTCCTAATACTACATCCCTCTGGGATGATTAAATACAGACACATAAACTAGGGGCTTGTCTACCCAAGGATATAATACCAGTTTAAAAAACAGTTAAACAGGTGCCACCCTTGTGTGCCACCACTCTTTCAGTTTCAGCCTAATTTCACTTATGTTGGAAAGGACTTAGAGTAAAGGATCTTATAAGAACTAAGGGCATTTTTACATTTGTTCCTGACGCAGCGCCTGGTGTTTTTAATTAGCGAGCCATGCTAATTAAAAGTGTCCACATGTCACATGTATCAGTGGCGCAGCGCATCCCCACACTGAGAAAATGGCAGCGTAGTGCTTTGAACTAAAGCGCATCAAATGTGTTTTATTTCAAAGCGCTCTGCTGCCATTTTCCCAGCACAGAGATGTACTGCACCGCTGATACACATGACATGCAAGGTTGCCAGAGTGCATCAATTTACATGCTCCAGCGTGTCAGAGCAGGCTCCCCACATGTGTGTATGCGTAAGTGCCCTAAATACTTTGCTGAATGAGGCCCTTACTGTTACAACAGGCAACAAAGCTAGAGGGAAGTTTTCATGAGGAGGCAGAAAGCAGAACTGAGGAAAGGGATGGGTGATTTTTCTTCTGAGCTCTGATGGCAGGAAATGAAATGGGATGACAGAAAGGCTGAGCACAGGGCCAGGGGTAAACATCATGAAGTCTGCTGGTTCCTGGTTCAGTGTAGGATTCTTTGGCCTGGCACCATGGGATGTGTGGATGGGATGTTGCTGAAAAATGAGAGATTTCCTATTCACTTCATTTTAAGCTATGATAACTAGAGAGCTTCTGAGAAGTGTTATCCATAGGATGATGCTACTTCAAAAAGCATTCCTTTTACCAAAGAAACAGCAACTGTGCTCTTGTTTATTGTAATGAGACTATTTCCTTATGGTGGAGTGAAGACCAATCCAGGAGGATTTTTCAGGCAATGCCAATTTTATATCAGGAAGCAATCAAAAAACCCCACAAAACAAAACAAAAACCAAACAAACCCAGAAATCTCTTCAGTCTTAAAACTTATTTTCAGGGACTTGTAACTTGGCTGTAACTTTTTTTTCGTCTGAGTGCAAAGCAAACCACTTAGACATGTTTTAAGTTTCTTGGTTTCAGATGCTTTTGGGTGCTTTTTTTTAATTAAAAAAAAAACGCCGTTAAGTTTAGGCAGCAGTCATTGCCTCTGTGTGTCCTAGGAGAAGCCCTTCCAGGAAAGAGATGCTTGTTATTTTGCTAAGGTCTTTAGAGAAAGATATCATAAATCTCCTTTGGGCCAAATTCTCCACTTTAACCAGCCACGTACCTTAGCTCCAAATTTCATCTGTTTCATCTGCTGCCTGTGATGTAAACTCTTACAGTGCATCTATACGAGACATCTACTGCGGAGCTGACTAATTAGCTCTGCAATAAATGTCTCGGCATTTACAAATGCAGCCCTATTAGGCTGCAGTAACCTAATAAACTCTGCCATAGGTTGGTACTTGTAAATACAAGTGCTGTCCTGGGAAGGAGTTTTTAGTGCGTAGCAACGTACATGTAGAAGACACTGATGGGGCAGGCTGGGACATGAGGGTGCTTCAGTGTGGAGGTGGCTGCTAGCTAGCCTCCACGCTGAAGCACCCTTGTGCCCCAGTCAGCCTCTCTGCGGCACACTGAGCCGGGTCGGAGCAGCCCCAAGCTGACAGGCTGATTTCTGGGGCTCCTTGTCAGCCAGGCTGCTCCGACCCAGCTCAATGTCCTGCAGTCCAGGATCACATATAAAGGCAGTACCCAGGAGCAATAAATTCCGGTACAATGTGTGCTGGAGCTTATTGCTTTAAATTAATTGCACATGTAGAGATACCCTTAGAAGAGTTACTCACAACACTAGGAACCTCGAAGTTGCAGCCTGGTATTAGAAATAAAGGGAAAGAGAATTATTTTTCATTATAAGAAGACAGAACACTTCTGGATTTAGGTCTAGAAATGGGCAGAAAAGCAGTGAAATTACAAATTATTTTACTTTAAAATATCTGAAATAGCAGTGATTTTTACCTCACTTCTTTTTTCTGAGTAGGCTAATTTAAAGGACTGGTACAAAATTGATGTAAATTAATTTAGAGAAGTTGGCCCTTAATTTTTTTGTTTTGGTTTGAGGCACTGGGTCTATCATGCAAATAAGGGTTTATGAGATTGGGCTCTTTGGGAGTTACAGGCTTATTTTTTTATAGTAAAATAATATAGAAATTGCTGTTAAAAAAACTCATTTCTTGTCATTACCATCGGACCCAAGGGAGGCTCTGACATATCAATGGTATGCTGGCAATGTGCAAATTTTGATTTTTTAGAGGAGGCTCATTCTAGCTGAAGAGTAGGAAACAAACCATCAAAACAAACTGTGCTGCTAATACTTCCTAATTTTTCAGTTTAAACATCAAGTCTATGCATTTTGGTTTCATAAACGCAAGCTTGCAAACAATTCTTATAACTACAGTTAAGTGGAAAGCCACACTGAAACACATTTTGACAATCCGCAGCATAGTGCTGGCTCTGAGCCCACATTGCCACAGACGTGATAAGGTGATGAAAACACTGTCAGGCATTTTAGATAAGAAAAGATTCAGAGCAACAGAGAATAACAGCTAAAGAGGACTAACATTTGTTAGGGCTGTAGCAAAAGAAGATAAACAACAAATAGAAGGTCTCTGAGGAAACTCAAGCAACATATGCCTCAAATGGAAATGAGAGAAGCTGAAGTTGATCTTTTATCCAGGTAGCTAATGTACCATTATATTAAATGGTGACTGTCTATCCGTAGGCATCCATCTCTCATCCTAGCTGCTACTACTGGTATCACATATGTTAAAAGGATTTTAATGGCACCTCTTGCTCCTCTTGTATTAGGCAGGAAGTTGGACAAACACATAAGTACATTGATTAAATAACAGCCAAGTCAAGCCCTGTCTTTAAGCTTTAATCACGATGTTGAACTTGAGTTATGATTTACTTACGTGCTGTTATCTTCCTTCACAAGAAACAAATTTCAGATTCAGGACTAAAACAATATTAATAATAATAATCAATAATGCATATGACTTCCTACCTCCAGCCTGTCTGTCCTCATTAATTTCTGTGCAGCAGCAGCTGCAGCTGCAGGAACTGGGACACCTGGGTTCCCTGCAACCAGCATCGGTGCAGTCGGCAGGATCTCTGCTGGGACCAAGCCCGGGGAGACAGGTCCCAGGTAGGGATTAAAGGCTGCTGATGCATTGGTGGCTAAGCTTGGTGCAACTGAAAACATTGGCTAGAAAAAAAAAAGAAGAGACTCTTTCATATTTATACTATTCAGTACATCACAATGACTTTATATTGTAAACTTGCTGTTTCAGACTACCTGTTAGACCATGACAGTGGTATATTTCTGCTATTAAGGCAAATAAAAGTTCTACCTAAGGAATACAGAACATACATCTAGAATCTTAACCCATTCAGCTAGTAAACTGTTCACTGAGATGGATTTAATCTGTCAGCCCCCACTAGATTTTTTCACAGAACTTGGGAGAAACTCTTGTATGTGACATGAGACAGTGCTTCCACTGAACTTTGACTCAATCTCCCCTTTGCAGGGTCACCCCTCTGTGCTCCCACAGTGCCATGTAAGAAAAATGTCTGACAACAATCATGTCAAATGCTCTCAGATGTGCACATTTAAAATGTGTATATGGAAAGAGAAAGAAATTTTAGTGGGTGACTCAAGACATCCTCACATCAAATCATTCTTTAAGTTCACAGGCAGATTCTCTTATCTACCCTGATGTGCATCTGGAGCAGCTCTGCTAAAGGCTGTAGAGTCTATGAGGGGTAAGAGCAGAAAAGAGCACAAAGAACAATCATTCCTTTTTGATAAAACTAATAAGGCTGTCTACCCAGAGATTCAGAAAGAAGTAAAAAACGCTCCATCCCTTGATATATTTTGACTAAAATGTGAAGCCGACTGGAAAAGAGTTGATAATATCACACTGAGAGGTATGCAAATGAAGGTACAGTTTTTCTTTGGTAAGCAACTTAAGAAACCAGTTAACAATATGAAGATCTCATACAATCTACACATGCTATGAGGAAAACCTAACTACATGCAGAAGCCCAACCAAGAATATGTCAACTGGGCCAGCAACCTATGGCCCACAAAGGGATTGGATCTGGCCCATGAAGGTTCAATCCAGTCTGCATTTTACTAAGGGTGTGCTGATTCCCCAGCTGCTTGAGCCGGTCTCAGTTTTGTTAATGGCGTGCCCATCACCTGCCCCAGCCCATGTGGAAGGCCGCTCTTCCTCGATGCAGCCTGTGTTCCCTGGCACAGCCAGAGGGAATGGTAGCCTATGTCTAACCCACATTTGAAAAAGGTTGGCAACCACTGTTTAAAACAACTCTGTGCTGTTATATACTGGTATAAACCTGAAGTAACTCCACTGAATAAAAAGTTGCTCTACCCGTACAACTGACAGCAAAATTTAGCCCAGAGTCCTCGTTTTGATATCTGGGTAGAACGGCTAGTAAATGCATATAAAGCTCTCTTCCAACCTAACATCAAACTGTCTTTGCAATTGACCAGGTGCTGTGTGTATGCATGTGTTTTATATTTTCCATGAAAAGACTGAATTGCTTGGCAAATAAGAAACCAAAATATATCATTGGAAACACTGGACAAAAACATGTATGTACAAAGATTATTTATAAACCAGCCTGAAAGAATGCACCACACAATAAATATTTAACTTTTAATGCTTCATTTGTCCAAGTCTCAGCAATGTCAGTTTGTTTATTTTTCTACATTATAGGATCCTTGCAAGCATAACAAACTAGACTGAACACTACTTGTCAATTGGCGCTAAACCCTTCTGATTTCACTGGCTAAATAAACTGTGGGGAGTTGCTCCACATAAACTTGTACTATACAAAAACAATACAAGAATACACAAACTAATAACTTATCTGGAAAAAAATTGAACTTGTGTAACTTTTAACTAACAAATGACACTGTAATAGTATTAGTTCCCCTTCTGTAATCAAACCAATTCAGGGAAAGGCAGTTGAAGCAGAGGCAAAACATTTTTAGGTGCTCACAGAATCTAAAGGAAATCCACTGGGTTCCTACAAAGCCGCTGCTTTGATTGCTGAAAGGACCTCATCAAACTTCATGAGCCATTTTACTGCAATCCAGAGCAAGTCAGAAGCGGTCAGTATAGGCTCATCTACAGGTGTGGATTTACTGTGCAGTAACTGAAATTACTGCACAGTACAAGCATGAGTCTACACACTACTACGCTGACTTGAGTGTAAATTGGGTACCTGCATCATGCAGGTATCAAATTTATATGTGATTAGTTACTAAGCAGTAATACATGTGTAGATGCCTGACTGCACAGTAACACTCTGTGTGTGGACTTACTTGGGACTAACTTTAGTTCTAAATCAGGGCATACACAATGTTAACATGCTTTAATGCCTGCACATGTAGACACTGGCCTACTCCTGCTTACTGTACAGTAAATTTAAGCCAGTGTAAATACATGTGTAGACACGCTCTGTGAGAAGGAAGGCTATATAATAGTTCACAAGAATGGAAGAGGAGTAGAAGTTGGGAGTCCCAGTCCTGCACTATAGGGACCCTAATTTTCTATGATTCTATGATAAGTAAAAACGTCCTATTCTTGAGGGCTCACATAATAGACTCATAACAAAATGCACCACATGGAAGAAATAGACAGGGGGGAGGGAGTGTAAGGGAATTATAAAAAGAATAATTTTGCCTTTCAGGAAGCAGAAAGAAGAGCAGCAGATCAGGCAGGGGAAGGTGAATGTAGTGGCCTTTGGGGAGGGTACAGGGCTTAATTGTTCATACATGTGCAACAAAGGTTGGCCTCTACCAAGGCTAGAGACAGACATTCAAAAAGCCTGAATTGATTCAATCTTTGCAGGTTAGTCTAATCAAATTTGCAAATCAGTTTGCAACCATACAGATAGACATCCCAGAACTTCAGGCACATGTCTCCAGCAACTCAGGCTAGAAGCCAGGGGGTTACTAGAGTAGCCCTCCCTTCCCTTCTACAGCACTGAGCAGAGGGGGGCATGGCCAGGCCCCAGCAGCATACTCTGATTAAGGAGGGCCCCCACCCCCTCTCAATTGATTACAGCATTTATCAGCTCTGTTATCAGCATTTATCACGCCATCAGAAAAAGCCTCTCTCCATTAGTTCAAGCTCTTCTTAAGCAGCAGGAATGGAGGGACATTACCAGCTACCTGTTGCTTAGTTCCAAAGAGCCCTAAGCCACTGTGCTGTCTACCTTTGTCCAGTCTCCCACAGCACAGACGGTAGCCAGCATGTGGTGTGCTGGCTAATGCTGAGACGTGTCTGTGTAAGGCAGAGGGAGGGGGATATCCCTGCTTAGCAGGGAGTGGTGAGGAGAGGAGGGGGGAGCAGGAGGAAGCCAGGCAGACGCCTGCAGTTTCTGCCCAAGCTGCAGCCAGGGAGCAGAGGGGAGGGGCCAGCTCTGCTGTGGAGCAGAAAGACCAGCCCGGAGAGCATGCTGGAATACTGGGGGAGTCTGTTTTAACTTAAACCAGGAAGGGGTCTGAGACAGACATTGCATAAACTGGTTTGAGCCAAATCAGTTAAGTCTGATACTACATTCAACCAGGTTTATCTCAAAACTGGTTTATGTGCACTGAACATCTGTTCTGTTACAGGTTTAAACCAGTTTCTAATCACTTAAACTAGTTTATGTGTAATGTCTGTCCCTAGCCTTAGAGCATAATTCTGTACTAATGTTCTAAACATGATCATGAAAAACAAGCATACTTCTAACTCTCTACCTCTGCTGGCTGTAAGTCTGATTTGCAAAGCTGATGAAAGCCAGGAGTTCCTACTGGTTTGGGGGAGATTTTGGGGTACTCAGCACCTTTGAACACCAGGCTCTATACTGTATTCTGAGCCATATCTTCTTCCCTGAATAGTAAGATCATTTTCTTTCTGTGTTTTAATCTTATAAGCCCTGAAAAATCAGCATGGGTGAGAGAGTGCAAGTGGGATTCTTGTCTGTCTTGCATATCACTGACAGAGTAGTTACTACACTCCATCAGTTACACTTGTACAATCCCAATAAAGAAAATAAATAATTCCAACCAAGAGCATTATTATATCCAGGTAGGGACACAATTTCAAAACATAACCCTGTACATGCATACCAGCACAGGGTTATTCACCACTAGTGAATTTCTAATCACTGATATTTGTGTATGCATCTGACAGTGCTGATCTATAGAAAAGTGCATATACCATGTGAAGATACAGACACAAGCACATAAATTTAAAGCCAAACACAAAAATCACAGTGTTAATGCAGTGACAATAAAGCACTCAAAATACTGGGAACTGTAAAAAATTCAGTTTGATCCCACAATGATCAATTATACATTCAAGATATTTTAGCTATTGCATATATTAATGACAGACAGGAATACACTTATGTCTACACTAAGCTAGGGAACCCAGAGGGCTTGAGTTTCATACATAATAACTTGGCCTCACAGTCCATGCATTGAATTTTGTCGGTTGAAATAACCTACAATACTTCCAGTTTCAAAAAAGAAGACACCTGTCAGGGAGAAAGAGGTAATATGATTGTGGAGGGCAGTGATATGCCTGTGCCCTGCCCCTCACTCCCAAGTCACAGACTCCCCAGCTCCTCACTCCTGACCCACAGAACCCCACCCCCCAGACCATGCTGGTGTCCTTCACTCCCAATCCATAGTTCACCCCCACCATGCCTGCTGATGCCCCTCGCTCTTGATCTGCAGCCCTCTGGCACTGTCTACACCCCATGCTCCCCACCCACAGTCCCCCACACTCCTGGTGCCCCCGACTCCTGACCTGCAGCCCCTTGCTCCTCCCAGCCCTGCAGCATCTCCAGGCTGCTCCACCCCTGCAAGCAAGGGCAGCAGCCTTGATGCTGCCAGCTGGGCCACACAGCTCTCTGCTTCCCCCAAAGGCCCCTCCTCATCCCCTTCCCCTACTGGAGGG